CATGGGAGTCCAGTTTACAATGTGAGTCCAGTCTACCATGGGAGTCCAGTTTACCATAGGAGTCCAGTTTACCATAGAAGTCAAGTCTACCATGGGAGTCAAGTCTACCACGGGAGTCCAGTTTACCATAGAAGTCCAGTTTACCATAGAAGTCCAGTTTACCATGGGAGTCCAGTTTACCATAGAAGTCCAGTTTACCATAGAAGTCCAGTTTACCATGGGAGTCCAGTTTACCATGGGAGTCCAGTTTACCATAGAAGTCCCTTTTACCATGGGAGTCCAGTTTACCATGGGAGTCCAGTTTACCATAGAAGTCCACTTTACCATAGAAGTCCACTTTACCATGGGAGTCCAGTTTACCATAGAAGTCCAGTCTACCATGGGAGTCCAGTCTACCATGGGAGTCCAGTTTACCATGGGAATCCAGTTTACCATAGAAGTCCAGTCTACCATAGAAGTCCAGTTTACCATAGAAGTCAAGTCTACCATGGGAGTCCCGTTTACCATGGGAGTCCAGTTTACCATGGGAGTCCAGTTTACCATGGGAGTCCAGTTTACCATAGAAGTCCAGTCTACCATAGAAGTCCAGTTTACCATGGGAGTCCAGTTTACCATGGGTGTCCAGTTTACCATGGGAGTCCAGTTTACCATGGGAGTCCAGTCTACCATGGGAGTCCAGTTCACCATGGGAGTCCAGTTTACCATAGAAGTCCACTTTACCATGGGAGTCCAGTTTACCATGGGAGTCCAGTTTACCATAGAAGTCCACTTTACCATAGAAGTCCACTTTACCATGGGAGTCCAGTTTACCATAGAAGTCCAGTTTACCATGGGAGTCCAGTCTACCATGGGAGTCCAGTCTACCATGGGAGTCCAGTTTACCATGGGAATCCAGTTTACCATAGAAGTCCAGTCTACCATAGAAGTCCAGTTTACCATAGAAGTCAAGTCTACCATGGGAGTCCCGTTTACCATGGGAGTCCAGTTTACCATGGGTGTCCAGTTTACCATGGGAGTCCAGTTTACCATGGGAGTCCAGTCTACCATGGGAGTCCAGTTTACCATGGGAGTCCAGATTACCATGGGAGTCCAGTTTACCATAGAAATCAAGTTTACCATGGCAGTCCAGTTTACCATGGGAGTCCAGTTTACCATGGGAGTCCAGTTTACCATAGAAGTCAATTCTACCATAGGAGTCCAGTTTACCATGGGAGTCCAGTTTACCATGGGAGTCAAGTCTACCATGGGAGTCCAGTTTACCATGGGAGTCCAGTTTACCATAGAAGTCTAGTGTACCATGGGGGTCTAGTTTACCATGGGAGTCCAGTTTACCATGGGAGTCCAGTTTAACATAGAAGTCCAGTTTACCATGGGAGTCCAGTTTACCATAGAAGTCCAGTCTACCATGGGAGTCCAGTTTACAATGTGAGTCCAGTCTACCATGGGAGTCCAGTTTACCATAGGAGTCCAGTTTACCATAGAAGTCAAGTCTACCATGGGAGTCAAGTCTACCACGGGAGTCCAGTTTACCATAGAAGTCCAGTTTACCATAGAAGTCCAGTTTACCATGGGAGTCCAGTTTACCATAGAAGTCCAGTTTACCATAGAAGTCCAGTTTACCATGGGAGTCCAGTTCACCATGGGAGTCCAGTTTACCATAGAAGTCCACTTTACCATGGGAGTCCAGTTTACCATGGGAGTCCAGTTTACCATAGAAGTCCACTTTACCATAGAAGTCCATTTTACCATGGGAGTCCAGTTTACCATAGAAGTCCAGTTTACCATGGGAGTCCAGTCTACCATGGGAGTCCAGTCTACCATGGGAGTCCAGTTTACCATGGGAATCCAGTTTACCATAGAAGTCCAGTCTACCATAGAAGTCCAGTTTACCATAGAAGTCAAGTCTACCATGGGAGTCCAGTTTACCATGGGAGTCCAGTTTACCATGGGAGTCCAGTCTACCATGGGAGTCCCGTTTACCATGGGAGTCCAGTTTACCATGGGTGTCCAGTTTACCATGGGAGTCCAGTCTACCATGGGTGTCCAGTCTACCATGGGAGTCCAGTTTACCATGGGAATCCAGTTTACCATAGAAGTCCAGTCTACCATAGAAGTCCAGTTTACCATAGAAGTCAAATCTACCATGGGAGTCCCGTTTACCATGGGAGTCCAGTTTACCATGGGAGTCTAGTCTACCATGGGCAGGAGTTGGCAACCAGTCACTCCGTAGCCGCGTGCGGCTCCCTAAGTGACGCCCCGTGACGTTGTTTACGAAGTGACCACCACCGTCTCGTAATCAACCCCCACAATGCCTTGCGGCCTCTTCAAGTATCCAGGTTCGAAGGGAATTCGAATAATAGAGGGGGGGTAGGGGTTGCGAGGGGTGGTGACATCGCGTCAATGTAAACGCGTCGTTTCAGTTTATTTATTTGGTATAGTCCTGTGAGGCATTCGGCTCTTGAATCGGGTGCAACCGCAACAAACAAAATAACATGAACAAGAAAAACATCTTAAAGTGACTACGCGCAAACAGAAAAATGCAGTGGAAAAAACTTAAAAATATTCCAGAAAAAGCTCCGTACACCAAGGCTCTGTGCAAAAATCCCAGTGGGAAGCAAGTCAAACAACAACAACAACCACAAGACAACTTAGATTAAGGCCATCAGTTGAACTCCGTACAAACAAACATGGCCAAACCAAAAAACGTTTTCCAAATCACCAAAATAAATCCATAAAAGCAATTTCGTTAAACCCGCCCATCGCGCTGCTGTTTTATTGCACGCTAACGGCATCGGGCACAAGAACAATGTGCGTGCATAATTGCCACGTGACTAACCCAACCTGCTAATAATAGGTGTTTACCCTTTTATCTGGCAACAAAACTGGGATCATGTTTGCATTGACCACAATACCTGCAGGTCAAAATGTAAACAAAAAACAGCACTCTGATAATGTCTGCATTGTCCTTGAAATTGATTGGTCCACACCCGAGACAGATTTTTCTTAGAGCCCAGTCTCATGTCGGTGTTGGAGCAGATGACGCCAAAAGGCGCACAACTCAAAGACAACGACGCACCATCAGCGTACAGAGAGCTCGGGGTAAGCATTTAAATCATGAGACCTTCTTTGCCAGTAGCAAAACTGGTCATGGATCCGCTTTGTCATTTAGATGGATTCATTAACCCCCCCCCCCCCCCCCCCCCACGTGAAGGGCTCGCAAGAGGCGCCATCACATCAGCCCCTCTGTTTAAGAAACAACGTCGGAGGATTTCTCCACAAATCCGTCTGTCACCTTGATGATGCCGGTTGTAATTACGGGCGAGAATTGGCCACGTTCCGTCTACGTGACGCTAGCCCTGACTAGTTGGCTGTGTCGGGTGGTGGAGGGTTTAACGACACAACATTGATATGTTTACGCGATCTCACCCAACAAGCGGTCGTTCTCAGGCGGAAAAAATAGAATCCAGCAGTGCGAATGAAACGTCGTGATTTTTTATTTTATTTTATACCTACGTGACTTTACCGAAAGAGTATGGGTGCTGAGATGTTAAAACACCAAACTGAAACCTTTAACAAGGAATCATATCTGCATTAACCACAATACGATAGCTTCAAATTAAGATCTAACCCAACAAACCTCGATTACACTGGCGAGACGTCGTACACAGATTGATAAACATTGTAGCTTGGCTCTTCAACACACAACCGGTTAGTGCTGTACTAGTCACGAATTGGCCACGTTCTGCTTACGCGACACGAACCCTTACTAGTTGGCTGTGTCGGATGGTGGAGGGTTATGACACATTTATATATGTACGCGATCTAACCCAAAAACCTTTATTATTAATAATCTTTGCTCGCAAAAAAGCCTGCCACGTGTTAAACTGATCATTGTACTCACACTCAGTCCCATGACTGTTTCAGGAGGATATTGCTGCCACACTGGGGGTTGATGGGCCTTACCTGGTAAAAGAAATTTCGTTTCGTTTAGAAAGCAAGCGAAGACTGCGCCGAGATGTTAACTACCTCGCCTGGTGTGCAGGAGGTCGTGGATGCGTGTCTCTCATCGTCACGGTGGCTAGGAGATGTTAACTACCTCGCCTGTTATACAGGAGGTCGTGGATTCGATCAAGACCCTGACGCCTGCTGCTGTATATTTGGAGTTTGCGTGTCTCTCTCTCCCCGTGGTCGCGTGGATTTTTGTCTGGGTCCCTCCGGTTTCCCCTCTCCGCATTTATAATCAACATCGCGCGTTTAGAGTGTTTGTCTGCTGCTGTACGCTGCCAAGTGATGGCGATGATGGTACGAGCCACTTCGTTGAGCCATCGTTTGTGATCGCCAGGTCGCTCCTGAAGAAGAGGCGCATCGCTCAGTGGGCCCTGACCTGGTCAAATAAAACTTCATTAAGTTCGTCCAACGTCGCGCCTCTCGGCTGTGTGCGTGTGTCTGTGTGTGTGTCTGTGTCTGTGTGTGTCTGTATCTGTGTGTGTGTCTGTCTGTGTGTGTCTGTCTGTGTGTGTGTGTCTGTCTGTGTGTGTGTCTGTATCTGTGTGTCTGTGTGTGTGCCTGTGTGTGTCTGCGTGTGCGTGTCTGTGCGTGCGTGTGTGTCTGTGTGTGTGTCTGTATGTGTGTCTGTGCGTGCGGGTCTGTGTGTGTCTGTGTGTGGGAGCGGTGGTGCAGCAGTTAGCGCCACGCTGCGCTACGAACCCGGCGAACTGAGTTCGATTCCTTCTCACGGCCAACACCGGTGACGATTATCTGAACCGGTCCTGGGCCTCTCCTAGGTCGACTCGGTCTCAAATGAGTACCTGGTGCGGTGTGCAGTAAACATCGCCACTGGGGAGACAAAGGCAGTCGGGCGTGGTGCTGGCCACCCACCCCCTCGTGTGCCGTTCCGGCCTTCATAGGTGCTGCCCGCTAACAGCACTTGCCCCTACAGTCTGTTAAGTCTATACGGGGGATCTTTGTCTTTGTGTGTGCGCGCGTGTGCGCATGCGTAGCCAAAACCTGCAGGACTACTACCCGATCTTCCTGGTGACGATGTGGACCGCTGGCCTCTTCACCAGCTCTGGTGCGACTTCCCGACGAGTCCTGACCACCCACAGGGGCACCGTGGCCACGTGCCACAAACACCACGCACACGACACCACGTGTCCAAGTGCCACAAACACCACGCACACGACACCACGTGTCCACGTGCCACAAACACCACGCACACGACACCACGTGTCCACCTGCCACAAACACCACGCACACGACACCACGTGTCCACCTGCCACAAACACCACGCACACGACACCACGTGTCCACGTGCCACAAACACCACGCACATGACACCACGTGTCCACGTGCCACAACCACCACGCACACGACACCACGTGTCCACCTGCCACAAACACCACGCACACGACACCACGTGTTCACGTGCCACAAACACCACGCACACGACACCACGTGTCCACGTGCCATAAACACCACGCACACGACACCACGTGTCCACCTGCCACAAACACCACGCACACGACACCACGTGTTCACGTGCCACAAACACCACGCACCCGACACCACGTGTCCACCTGCCACAAACACCACGCACACGACACCACGTGTCCACCTGCCACAAACACCACGCACACGACACCACGTGGCCACGTGCCACAAACACCACGCACACGACACCACGTGTCCACCTGCCACAAACACCACGCACACGACACCACGTGTCCACCTGCCACAAACACCACGCACCCGACACCACGTGTCCACGTACGCGCAGGGGTGGGGAACCTTTTTTCTGTCAAGGGCCATTTGGATATTTATATAACATCATTCGCGGGCCATACAAAATGATCAACTTAAAAATTAGCCCGCTATTTTTGGTCAAAACATTTAATTAACTCGCCCCTAATGTGATGGCTGGAACTGCTTCTCTTTGGCGAGGCGTGTGGTGATGTTAGCTGGTATTGATGATGTTAGCTGGTATTGATGATGTTAGCTGGTATTGACGATGTTAGCTGGTATTGACGATGTTAGCTGGTATTGATGATGTTAGCTGGTATTGATGATGTTAGCTGGTATTGACGATGTTAGCTGGTATTGATGATGTTAGCTGGTATTGATGATGTTAGCTGGTATTAACGATGTTGCTACTCGCAACTGCTTTTCCAGGTTTGCTCTCCTAGATTTATCGAATTTCGAGTCCCGTCTGCGGTTGCCTTGGCAGGGCCACACCAAATGATTTCGCGGGGCCTCGTACGGCCCGCGGGCCGGACGTTCCCCACCCCTGAGTCGTACGGCAACGCTGTCCCTGCCGGTGTCGTGCCAACCCATGCCCGTGGGAGGGACTTTGCGGCAATTTGTTTTTTTGGTTTGTCGCTTGAGTGATTCGTCTTCGCTCTCCGGATGCTTCGCACTCCGATCGTGTGTTTCGCACCGTTTGTTGTCGTGACCTTCTGACCCGCCGCCCGCCCCTTTACGCAGCTCATCGGATTCCTCCGGTAGGCATCAAGGTTCCCATTCTGGTTCGACCGTCGAGTTCGCCACCGTTGTCCGCGGCCGCGAGCGGGAATCGAACTCGGGTCCGGCGCCGGGTTGGCAGCTCGGCGCGCTAACCGCTGCGCCGCCGTTCGACCGAATCGCGTGCGCGCGTGCGCTCGCTGCGTCGAGTGCGTCGAGTTGACTGTGAATGGAGGTGGAGCAGAGACTGATTTGGGGAGCGGTGGTGCAGCGGTCAGCACTGCGCTGCGCTACGAACCCGGCAACGCGGGTTCGATTCCCGCTCACGGCAAACACCGGTGGCGATTGTCTGAACCGGTCGTGGGGCTCGCTAAGGTCGACTCGGCCTCAAATGAGTACCTGGTGCGGTGTGTAGTAAACATCGTCACTGGGGAGACAAAGGCGGCCGGGCGTGGTGCTGGCCACCCACCCCCTCGTGTACCGTTCCGACCTTCATAGATGCTACTCGCTAACAGCACTTGCCACTACAGTCTGTTAAGGCTACACGGGGAATCTTCATAATTGTTTGCTGGGATTGATGGAAACGTTCATGATGTCCTCCACGTGTTACAAAGCTGACAATTCTCAATAACGTATTGATAATTGTCATTATGATATGCCTCCTTGTTTGGTCCCGAGTAAACACGCCAAAGTTGGGCCAACCACATGTCACCAACGTTGGACCAACGTTGGTGGCATGTGGTTGGTGCCAACGTTGGTGACGGGTGGTTGGTGCCAACGTTGCTGGCATGTGATTGGTGCCAACGTTGGTGGTATGTGGTTGGGCCAACGTTGGTGGCATGTGGTTGGTGCCAACGTTGGTGGCATGTGGTTGGGCCAACGTTGGTGGCATGTGGTTGGTGCCAACGTTGGTGACGGGTGGTTGGTGCCAACGTTGCTGGCATGTGGTTGGTGCCAACGTTGGTGGCATGTGGTTGGGCCAACGTTGGTGGCATGTGGTTGGTGCCAACGTTGGTGGCGGGTGGTTGGTGCCAACGTTGCTGGCATGTGGTTGGGCCAACGTTAGTGGCATGTGGTTGGGCCAACGTTGGTGGCATGTAGTTGGTGCCAACGTTGCTGGCATGTGGGTGTGCCAACGTTGGTGGCATGTGGTTGGGCCAACGTTGGTGGCATGTGGGTGGTGCCAACGTTGGTGGCGGGTGGTTGGTGCCAACGTTAGTGGCATGTGGTTGGGCCAACGTTGGTGGCATGTGGTTGGGGCCAACGTTGGTGGCATGTGGGTGGTGCCAACGTTGGTGGCATGTGGTTGGGCCAACGTTGGTGGCATGTCGTTGGGCCAAAGTTGGTGGCGGGTGGTTGGTGCCAACGTTGGTGGCACGTGGTCGGTGCCAACGTTGGTGGCGGGTGGTTGGGCCAACGTTGGTGGCATGTGGTTTGGCCAACGTTGGTGGCATGTGGTTGGTGCCAACGTTGGTGGCATGTGGTTGGTGCCAACGTTGGTGGCATGTGGTTGGTGCCAACGTTGGTGGCATGTGGTTGGGCCAACGTTGGTGGCATGTGGTTGGGCCAACGTTGGTGGCGGGTGGTTGGGCCAACGTTGGTGGCATGTGGTTGGTGCCAACGTTGGTGGCGGGTGGTTGGGCCAACGTTGGTGGCATGTGGTTGGTGCCAACGTTGGTGGCATGTGGTTGGTGCCAACGTTGATGGCATGTGGTTGGGCCAACGTTGGTGGCATGTGGTTGGGGCCAACGTTGGTGGCATGTGGTTGGGCCAACGTTGGTGGCATGTGCTTGGGCCAACGTTGGTGGCATGTGGTTGAGCCAACGTTGGTGGCATGTGGTTGGGCCAACGTTGGTGGCATGTGGGTGGTGCCAACGTTGGTGGCGGGTGGTTGGTGCCAACGTTGGTGGCATGTGGTTGGGGCCAACGTTGGTGGCATGTGGGTGGTGCCAACATTGGTGGCATGTGGTTGGGCCAACGTTGGTGGCATGTCGTTGGGCCAACGTTGGTGGCGGGTGGTTGGGCCAACGTTGGTGGCATGTGGTTGGGCCAACGTTGGTGGCATGTGGTTGGTGCCAACGTTGGTGGCATGTGGTTGGTGCCAACGTTGGTGGCATGTGGTTGGTGCCAACGTTGGTGGCATGTGGTTGGGCCAACGTTGGTGGCGGGTGGTTGGTGCCAGCTTTGCGTGTTTCCTGTCCGCAGCCGCCGCCGCCTTCATCGGCCTCATGTACATCGTGGCGCGCTACAAGTACTTCAAGGGCTACATGGGAACGGACAACAAGCGGTGAGCGTGCGACACCGCAGCCCCCAACGCACGATCGCCCCAACGTCGGTTCAACGTTGCGGCCGACGTTGAACTCGACGTTCAACGAACGTCAACCCACGTGCCAACGCAAATGACAGCTCAACGGAGCGGCGTATCGTCACCGGTTGAGAATGTCTAACAGCGGCCGCATACTCACTCCGTAGACTCGGGACGTTCATTCTAAATGTGGGAGGGGGGAAACCGGGAGGAGGACACGGAGAAAATCCACGTGACCACGGTGAGAGAGACACACAAACTCCAAATATACAGCAGGCGTCAAAGAGGATCGAACCCACGACCTCCTGTAGACCAGGCGAGGTAGTTAACATCTCACCACAAAGAGAGAGAGAGACACGCAAACTCCAAATATACAGCAGCAGGTGTCAGGGTTGGGATTGAACTCAAGACCTCCTGTTGACCAGGCGAGGTAGTTAACATCTCACCACAAAGAGAGAGAGAGAGAGACAAGCAAACTCCAAATATACAGCAGCAGGTGTCAGGGTTGGGATTGAACGCAAGACCTCCTGTTTACCAGGCGAGGTAGTTAACATCTCACCACAGAGAGAGAGAGAGACACGCAAACTCCAAATATACAGCAGCAGGTGTCAGGGTTGGGATTGAACGCAAGACCTCCTGTTGACCAGGCGAGGTAGTTAACATCTCACCACAGAGAGAGAGACACGCAAACTCCAAATATACAGCAGCAGGCGTCAGGGTCGGGATTGAACCCACGACCTCCTGTAGATCAGGCGAGGTAGTTAACATCTCACCACAGAGAGAGAGAGACGCAAACTCCAAATATACAGCAGCAGCAGGCATCGTCAGGGTCGGGATCGAATCCACGACCTCCTGCAGACCAGGTGAGGGAGTTAACATCTCCTGGCCACCGCGGCTCATTGCGGTGAACTCATTGGAGGGGAGGGGTATTGAAGCAACTGGACCCACTGTGAGCGCGCCGGGAGTTGGAATCGAACCCGGCCCCCGCTGCCGCCGTGCCACGTGACCGTTGCGTCACGGCAGAAGCTGTCCCTGGGCACGTGCGTCGCGCGAATGATCATGATCATGATTTCGACGACGACGATGATGATGTCATCATCATTATGATTACACCATCATCATTACGTGCCAGATTTCGCGAAAAAGTCAACGAGCCATAGGCGGAGAGCCCAGGCCGAGGGCTGCTCGAGAGCCCTCGGCCTGGGCAAGCAGAGGAAGAGGCATTGAGATGGTGTGGATGTGTATAGTAGTGTAGTGTATAGTGTAGTGTATAGTGTAGTAGTGTAGTGTATAGTGTAGTAGTGTAGTGTATAGTGTAGTGTATAGTGTAGTAGTGTAGTGTATAGTGTAGTGTATAGTGTAGTAGTGTAGTGTATAGTGTAGTGTATAGTGTAGTGTATAGTGTAGTGTAGTAGGGTATAGTGTAGTGTATAGTGGTGTGTATAGTGTAGTGTATAGTGTAGTGTATAGTGTAGTGCATAGTATTGTATAGTGTAGTGTATAGTGTAGTGTATATTAGTGTAGTGTATAGTAGTGTATAGTGTAGTGTGTAGTGGAGTGTATAGTGTAGTGTATAGTAGTGTAGTGTATAGTGTAGTGTATAATGTAGTGTATAGTGTAGTGTATATAGTAGTGTAAAGTGTAGTGTATAGTGTAGTGTATAGTGTAGTGTATAGTGTAGTGTATAGTAGTGTAGTGTATAGTAGTGTAGTGTATAGTAGTGGATAGTGTGTAGTAGTGTAGTGTGTAGTAGTGTAGTGTATAGTAGTATAGTGTATAGTGTAGTGTATAGTGGTGTAGTGTATAGTAGTGTAGTGTATAGTAGTGTAGTGTATAGTGGTGTAGTGTAAAGTAGTGTAGTGTATAGTAGTGTAGTGTATAGTAGTGTAGTGTATAGTAGTGTAGTGTATAGTAGTGTAGTGTATAGTGTAGTGTATAGTAGTGTAGTGTATAGTGTAGTGTATAGTAGTGTATAGTGTGTAGTAGTGTAGTGTGTAGTAGTGTAGTGTATAGTGTATAGTAGTGTATAGTGTGTAGTAGTGTAGCGTATGGTGTAGTGTATAGTAGTGTAGTGTATAGTAGTGTATAGTAGTGTATAGTGTAGTGTATATTAGTGTAGTGTATAGTGTAGTGTATAGTAGTGTAGTGTATAGTAGTGTAGTGTATATTAGTGTAGTGTATAGTAGTGTAGTGTAAGGTAGTGTAGTGTATAGTAGTGTATAGTGTGTAGTAGTGTAGTGTATGGTGTAGTGTATCAGAGGCCTTGAGATGTTTCTTCAAAGTCCGAGTGTCGTCATCTCCTTGTTGTGTCGTCATCTCCTTGTTGTGTCGTCATCTCCTTGTGTCGTCATCTCCTTCTTGTTGCGTCATCTCCTTGTTGTGTCGTCATCTCCTCGTGTCGTCGTCGTCATCTCCTTGTTGTGTCGTCATCGCCTTGTGTCGTCGTCATCTCCTTGTGTCGTCATCTCCTTGTGTCGTCATCTCCTTGTTGTGTCGTCATCTCCTCGTGTCGTCGTCATCTCCTTGTTGCGTCGTCATCATCTCCTTGTTGCGTCATCATCTCCTTGTTGCATCATCATCTCCTTGTTGTGTCGTCATCATCCCCCTCTTGTTCTTCTTCTTGTTGCAGAGTCCCCGGCTATTTCCTGGCCAAGCGGTTGATGTTTTCGCTCTCGGCTCTCTCCGCCGTCGGGCTGCTAAACTTCGCCCTGTGGTGGTACTGCCGAGTCAGCCTCCTCGACTACTTGAACCTCGTGGCCAAGGCAGCCTCGGCCCTGCTGCTGTTTGTATGAACGCGGCTGCAGAGGTCAGGGCGCTGGGCCGCCAACGGTGAGGTCCCGGGTTCGAATCTGGGCGACTGCCTGCGATTCAGCCGGCTTCTCACATTATCATGACCTCGGCCTGGTCACGAGTGACGGCACACAACAACAACAACAACAAACAACAACAACAAACGATTCGGTGAAATGTAGCCGTGCACTAAATTTGGCTAAATTCCAGCTCTGAGAATGAACGATATCGAGAGATTCGACTGTCACGCATCGAGCATGACAACATCCACGTAGTCGAGTGTGGTAGGAAGGTGCTGCCCTCTGCTGTATGGAGCAGGGATCTCAGAGGTAGCTTCGTGATGTCCACTTCCGCTGGCCGCTCTCCGACACGGGAGGAGTGGTGTAACTGCTCTGCGAAAGTTCCAAAAGGACAAACAATATAACAATGCCATAGAACAATACATGTAACAGGACAAACAATATAAGAATACAATATAACAATACAATAGAACAATACAATGTAACAGGACAAAAAATATAACAATACAATAGAACAATACAATGTAACAGGACAAACAATATAACAATACAATAGAACAATACATGTAACAGGACAAACAATATAACAATACAATATAACAATACAATAGAACAATACAATATAACAGGACAAACGATATAACAATACAATGTAACGGGACAAACAACAATAGGTAACATTGAAGCAAATATATATTTAAAGGAACACAATGTTTCAAATTCAATAAGTGGTTTTTAACCCCAACCCAATGCCCCCCCCCCCCCCCCCCCACTGATGCTTTGTCACATGACCAAGTGGCACGTGTGTCTAAAATAAAAACTCTACACACGTGGCACGTGTGTTGTGATGACGGTTGTTGAATGTTCACGTGCTGTTGCCCGTCACGTGCTGTTGCCCGTCACGTGTTTTGCCCGTCACGTGTTTTCCAAACGCCACAACAACTGCACGCGCGTCTACGGGGTGGCGCTCGTTTGTCGCTGTGGTTCGCGGTTCGAACCCCAACGGGGGGTCTGCCCTGGTTAATACTGCAGTGTGCGTGTTAACTATGATTATGGTCTACATGTCGTTTTTTTTTTTTAAATCTGTAATTGTGGAATGATTTTATGTCGTCTGCCTACCGAGTCGCCCTTCAAAACCAGATTCTTAGCTCAATGGACTTCACTAGGGATTAAAACTTCTCATTCTCAAAATTGGCTTCTTTTTGGGTTAGCTCTTATCTTAAATGAATTTATAAAGCGCCTTAACAATGGCGATATACACAGAGTTAACAGTACTACAACAAGAACAACTCGTGTGTGAATATAATGGTGGAGATGGGGTGAATGAAATGGACGAGAGGGAAGCAATGGGGGCGAATCTGTGATGCGTGGATTTCTTGAAAGAGAAATTGATGACAGTTGATGATGATGATTTGGGTTAATGAGTGATAGCCGTATTATGAGAATAATTATTATTCTGATAGCATATGATGAATGGATTGAAGGAATGGGGTGAATGAGTGATAGTCGTAGAATGAAAATGATTATAATTCTGACAGTAGATGATGATGATGAATGGATTGAAGGAATGGGGTGAATGAGTGATAGTCGTAGAATGAGTGATGTCATGAGAATATGAAAAAGGAATAGGAAGGGTGTTAGCGGTTATGAGTGGGAGCTTAAGGGGGGGGGGGAGTCGTGGGGTGAGCTCGGGTTAACAATAAGTGAGTTGTGAGTGAGGAGCGGGAACTTAGTGAGCGAAGGTGACCGCTTAATGTGGAGGGGGAAGTTTGTTCTAATGATGGGGGACAAGAAGAGAGAGACACAGGGAAGATTGAGAACAAGGAGGAACACAGAGAGAGACACAGGGAAGATTGAGAACAAGGAGGAACACAGAGAGAGACAGGGAAGATTGAGAACAAGGAGGAACACAGAGAGAGAGACAGGGAAGATTGAGAACAAGGAGGAACACAGAGAGAGAGACACAGGGAAGATTGAGAACAAGGAGGAACACAGAGAGAGAGACAGGGAAGATTGAGAACAAGGAGGAACACAGAGAGAGAGACAGGGAAGATTGAGAACAAGGAGGAACACAGAGATACATAGGACCATGAAGGGATCTGCAGACCAGGGTGTAATCGTGCATGTCGTATAGACCCTCCTCCACCCGACACAGCCAATTAGTAAAAGCGTCACGCGAATCAGACGTCGCCAGTTTACATTCCTGCTCCAGCAGCAGCAGCACTGCTGTTGTTGCTGTTGAATAGCGATCTCACAATGACGTTTTGCTGGGGATTATATCCAGCATCATCATCATCATCAGTTGACACTAAAACTACGAATTTTATTTGACCACGTAAGGTCAACTGAGCTACTATGTAACTCTTTTTCTGAAGCCACCTGGCCACAAATGATAGCTTATCACGTGGATATTTATAGCAGCCAAATACTCTGAACGTGTGATTTTTCTAAATAAATAACCGGAGGACCCGGAGAAAAATCCACGCGACCACGGGGAGAGAGACACGCAGACTCCAAATATACAGCAGCAGGCGTCGTGAGGGTCGGGGTCGAACCCACGACCTCCTGTAGACCAGGCGAGGTAGTTAACATCTCACCACGGAGAGAGAGAGAGACACGCAAACTCCAAATATACAGCAGGCGTCAGGGTCGAGATCGAACCCACGATCTCCTGTAGACCAGACGAGGTTGTTAACATCTCACCACCGAGAGACACGCAAACTCCAAATATACAGCAGCAGGCGTCAGGGTCGGTATCGAACTCACGACCTCCTGTAGACCAGGCGAGGTAGTTAACATCTCACCACGGAGAGAGAGAGAGAGAGAGACGCAAACTCCAAATATACAGCAGGCGTCAGGGTCGAGATCGAACTCACGACCTCCTGTAGACCAGGCGAGGTAGTTAACATCTCACCACAGAGAGAGAGACACGCAAACTCCAAATATACAGCAGCAGGCGCCAGGGTCGGGATCGAACCCACGACCTCCTGTATACCAGGCGAGGTTGTTAACATCTCACCACGGAGAGAGAGGGAGACACGCAAACTCCAAATATACAGCAGCAGGCATCGTCAGGGTCGGGATGGAACCCACGACCTCCTGTACACCAGGCGAGGTAGTTAACATCTCACCAGCGTAGTCGGGCAGGGAGCAGCGACCACGCCTCGTGTCCAAACCACATCCGCCAAGCACGCCTCGCCGTCTCCATATACCTCGTCACCCCCCCACCTCGTCACCCCCGCACCTCGTCATCCCCGCACCTCGTCACCCCCGCACCTTGTTGTATATGTGGGTTTTATGAAAATTTGATGAAAATATAAAAAATGAAATGTGAAGGTTGAATAATGTATCCGAAGTTATGTTAATTTGTGTAATTATGAGTATAAATTATGCTAATTCGAGAGATCATCGTATTAATTTATGCGAGTGGGTGTGGTTATGTTAATGACAGCCTTTATGATAATCAGACTCCGCCTCGTTGACGAGGGTCAGTTATCAATCGGGATAATACAATTAATCGTATGCAGTTATGCTAGTGTGATGTGGTATGCCAGAGTCAACTCGGCTTCGCTGTTTAACTTCGTATTATCGATCAGTATAATACAATTATTCTCGCTTTAACGTTTATTGAGTGTATTAGTGTGTTTATATTTTAGGTCACCAAGTTCATATCTCAACGCAGAACCAGTTATTAAGCATAGATTTCAGGAAAGAATCACACGACCACTTCTGCATTAATCAATTTATTTCTAATTAAACCTTAACTCTAAAAGATACAACTCTCGGCTTGGAATTACAACACAGTATCAACACAGTCTCATCAATGACTGGGTTGTTTCACTTTGACAACAGCACCTGTGGTTAATTCTGCCGCGTAACGCGAGCTCGGTTGGTGAGAGAGAGAGAGTCGTTAAAACATGCATATGCTAATCTAAATAAAAACCTTAACTTTATAATACATGATTATACTGGAATTGTTCACGGAGTACCGCACTCATTATTGATCATATGCAACTCTTATCACGTTGTTAGCACATTGGGTCACGGAACGGTAGAGTATTCTGTAGAGTACGCGAGTACGTGCGGCGATCAGTAACGAAAGGTACTTAAAGTTTATATGACGATATTCATACAAAAAGGCGATCAAAACAGTTATTATTCCCAAAGGCACAAATATATCAATAGATCCATTGGACAGATTATATGATTATCGAAATGGCTTAGAGTGAGGGTGTGCGGTGGGGAGCGCTCTCTCCCCTGATATCCTTATCTTGGGCCAACGTTTCATTAATTGTGGACCAGTTTGCCTGATAGGAAAGCCGGTTGGATACGCTATTCCCCCACGTGAGCGTAGCTCCGTGGCGAAGGGGTCAAGGATTAATTCATATTGATGGATCGGTTGGTAATTTATGTGATTAGAAGTACACTCCTAAACGAAATATTAAAGAGGAAAATTATGAATATACTTATAAACGACGGACTGTTATCACCCGACCTGTAGCGATGCTTCCACGGCCACAGATGGTTCACGTTTTGGGATTGGCTTTTGGTTCCTGACTCGTGTATGATGAGGGATATAAATTGTGTTGAATAGTCAGTGTTCGGAGTTGAATCTTTGCGTCAAACAGACGCCTGGTTTGTCGTGTGGTGGGGGGCAGTGCACATCATACGTATCGGTCGATTCTTCTCTCGGCTCGGCTGAGTCGAGCTGATGAGCCGACACGCTGTTGTAGTTGCGATGACCCGTCGTTAGATGGCGCACGCAGCCTGCTGGTAGCGTGCGGTGGTGTCGCTGGCTGTTGATACACGTTCGTTGCAATGCTACTTTTGATGATGCCGACTCGCACCACGTAGCCTCGTCGCTAAACAGCGACCCTCGCCACTCCGGCGGGCGGCAGGGACCTCCTCTGCGTCGGCGGCGGCCGATCTCCTGCAGGGATGAGTCGAGCTGGCGAGCTGATGAGCTCCCTTGATGAGCTGAGTTGAGCTGGCAAGCTGATGAGCTCCTTGCTGAGCTGTGTCGCGAAGTGGCGCGCGCCGATGAGCTGATGAGCTGATGAGCTCAGCTGAGCTCCTGATGGTAGCTCAGCCGAGTTCCGGACGAACTCAGCTGAGTTCCTGACAAACTGAGGTTTCAATGCTGCAGTGTCCTCTTTTATGCCAAAATCCCTCCTCTTGGCTCCTCCCCACAAGGCGGAGCTTCTTGTGATTGAGCTGTGTGTCGTGGTCTGGAGTGCGTGTCCGTATGTGCGTCCGTTCGTATGTGTGCCCTTGTGTGCGTCATTTACGGCACAGCTCTGTTGCCCTCCTCTTTCCACAAACCATAACGACAGGTGTTACAAATCGTCTCACAGGCGTCTCTGTATGTGTTGCACAACCTCGAGGGAGGGGCGATATTCCCTCCGGTGCGACCTTCCCCGTGAGTCCACGTTCGTGAAAGTTTTGTTTAAGTTAACATTTTATTCCTCCATAGTCTTACAGTTATGAATCTGTACGTGGCTCGAGGTCAGTTGTGTTAGTTTCCCATCGTGGTGTTTGATTTTATTTCAAGGGAAGGTGCTCTCTTGAGCGTATGCATATTCTTATCATGTGCTGCAGGAAGACAAAGGCGGCCGGGAGACTCTCTTTTTCCCTGGCCCCCGGTTTAACATCGCTCAAGTATTATTTATCTTTAACATTAATGTTATGTATGAATTAGGTACTGCGATTTATTTAACTTAAACTTGTTGCCTGGGGTCCTGCTGATACACTTCGTTAGCAAGGAACTTCAAGGCATCTCTCTCTCTGCTCCCTCCTCTCGGCTTGCCCGTGTGGTGTGCTATCCCAGCCGCGGTGGGGGGAGCGTTATCTACGTTTTCCCAGCCTTGTGAACGCAGGTGCTGAAATAATTGCTTGGCGTCTGTCCGCTCTCTGACACTACGATTCAGACAAAGGTGCCTCTGCTTCTCTTCCATTGCCCTTGAATTCGTTTTGACTTCAGTCAAAAATTCTGTGTTTGTCATATGCTTCGGTCAGGTTGTACAGAAACTTACTAAAGATTAATTCACATTCAGTATTGGATTGGCAAATGGGCAATGGTTCATTGATGTAGCTCGCAGCCTGGTCTCCAATTGGAGCGAGCGCGAGGATCGATAATTTTAGCCTACTCCTGTTGTTGAATTTCGAACTTTAACGCTACTTGAAAAGCAATGCAGGATAAACGGTTGAGGTTTTTGACTTAACCATGTCTGTGGCTAACGCGAACTCTCTGCTCTCTGCCTGCACGGGTGACGTGCGCCTCATTCATTAGGCCTTATCTCTCCCGTGAGCAAGGTTGGGATAATTCCGCCATCCTGGCCCTCCTTCAGTTCTCATTACTTATCAACACCTGGTGTTTTGCTGGTGCTGACTTTTGCGTGTTTTCTTTATTTATTAAAAAAAACACATATCTATCGGCAAATATTATTAATATCAATTTTGGAAAAAGGCGCATATCCAACAACCTCGTCACCCCCGCACCTCGTCACCCCCGCACCTCGTCACCCCCACACCTCGTCATCACCTCGTCACTCCCGCACCTCGTCACCCCCGCACCTCGTCATCACCTCGTCATCACCTCGTCACCTTGGCCGGTAAGGCGCGCGGGGGCGGGGTGGGGGGTGCTTTTGTTTTAACTCGCCACGTTTTTCGGGCAGACCTCGATGGAGTTATCCAACCGCTGATGTTTGTTGGTTGATACCGTCAGTGACGAACAGACGACACACGACTCTCTCTCATCCCGTTCCGTTCGTGTTGGACCAACTTTACGAGAGTTAACGAGACCCCCTCCACCCCCCCTCCCCCACAGCTAATGCGCAATTCACTACAAAGACCAAAGACAAAGATCCCCCGTATAGCCTTAACAGAGTGTTGGGGCAAGTGCTGTTAGCGTGCAGCACCTATGAAGGCCGGCCACGGCCAGAAACCACGCCCGGCCGCCTTTGTCTCCCCAGTGGCGATGTTTACCACACACCGCGCCAGGTACTCATTTAAGGCTGAGTCGACCTAGGGGAGGGCCGTGGACCCGTGTTGGTGGTGGCGAGCTTGGGAATTTGTGTATTTGAACTTTGGGGCCATCTATAAGTGACGTCACGCGATTTTGGACGATTTTTGACCCCCCCTCGTCACACGGCGTCACAAGAAGTCAGACCCCTCCTCAAATATGACGTCACAAAGCTCTGCCCCCCCCCCAAACCAAAAAAACCCTATTGTCATTGTAGCGCGTATTTAATGTGGCGCTGCACTCTGATATTGTAGGAGAAAACATTTATTAAAAAGTCTATTTAATTAAGTAGAACGTATTCTTGGTTCTTTCGGTAAAGTCACCACGTAGAAGGGAAACAATAAATTCATAAATATATAAAACAATACAATTCTCACGACGTTTCGACAGCAACACAAGCAATCATCATCAGGTGTGAAAACCACAGCAAATTTTCTTGCTGTGGTTTTTTTCTTGCTGTGGTTTTCACACCTGATGATGATTGCTTGTGTTGCAGTCGAAACGTCGTGAGAATTGTATTGTTTTATATTTTTATCAAGTTATTGTTTCCCTTCTACGCGGTGACTTTACCGAAAGAACCAAGAATATAAATCCCTGCAGTCACGAAAGCTTTAAATAAAAATTAAAGTAGAACGTTTTGTCTATACTTATTTAAAGTTGCGCATTTTGATGTGACGTCACATTTCTCACCACCCCCCCCCCCCCTCGTCACACATCGTCACAAATGTCTGACCACCCCCCCCCCCCCCAGGTGCGTGACGTCATTTATGTACGGCCCCAATAGAGATGAGCGCACAAGATGTGGTGGTTACCACATCTACGCCTCGATAGAAGGAACGAAACAGGCGGAGGACTTCTCCACAAATCCGGCTGCTGTCCGCCTGATGAAGCCGGTTGTAATTACTGGCGAAACGTCGGACTCGGATTGTACATGCTGTGACGTTGTATTGTACGAGTAACGAATTGGCCACGTTCTGTTTACGTGACAAACCTTACGCGTTGGCTGTGTCGGGTGGTGGCGGGTTTAACGACACAACATTTATACATTTACGCGATCTAACCCCCACCCCCAAAAAGAACCTCTATTATCTTACTGTTATCTCCATATATAGAAAAGGCAAAGTTGTGAATATATGTGTGTCTGTTCAAAATGTTTAGTGTACTTCCCGACATGCAACAAACTTGAAATTTGCCGTGTGGGTACTGTCCAGACGGTACACCATGCAAACATCATAAAAATACACCTTTTTTTAGGGGGGGGGTGGGGGAAGCTCAATAATGCATAGATTTTTTACACGGCAAGTGAGCTGTGACGTCAAATCTGTCACGTGACCCGCGCATGTGGAAGCGTAACGCATTGTAGTGTAGTGGTAAGCGTGCTGTGCTCCGAACCCGGCGACCCGAGTTCGATTCCCGCTCACGGCCACCACCGGTGACGATTATCTGAACCGGTCCTGGGCCTCCCCTAGGTCGACTCAGCCTCAAACAAGTAACTGGTGTGTTATATTCTTGGTTCTTTCGGTAAAGTCACGTAGAAGGGAAACAATAAAATAATACAAATATTAAACAATACAATTCTCACGACGTTTCGACTGCAACACAAGCAATCATCATCAGGTGTGAAAACCACAGCATGACATTGACTTCTCCAAGACAGAGGTTCTTTGCAAGCCATCTGGCTACCATGAGAGATTCGTTCGTGAGGCTATCCACATATACAAACACAGAGACAATTTCAACCGAGAACATGGATTCTGGCTTAGCAATCATTGGAAGGATTTGATAAACCATTTCGGGTCTTAATTGATTGTTCACGCTTATGGTGGCTTTCAGATCGCATCCATTATTTTCGTCTCCCCCCTCCTCTTTTCAGAACATAGATGGACTCGTACATCTGAACAAATGCCAAATCGCTCTCCGTGGTGCTAGCGTTAAAAAAACGCCACTTTTTAAAAAAAAATTCTTGCTGTGGTTTTCACACCTGATGATGATTGCTTGTGTTGCAGTCGAAACGTCGTGAGAATTGTATTGTTTTATATTTTTATAATTTTATTGTTTCCCTTCTACGTGGTGACTTTACCGAAAGAACCAAGAATATGAATCCCTGCAGTCACGAAAGCTTTAAATCAAAAACTGGTGTGTTGTGTGTGAACATCGCCACTGGGGAGACAAAGGCAGCCGGGCGTGGTGAATCCAAGTCCCGAGCGAAGCCGGGCAGTATAAAGCTAGTTAGTACATATTTTGAAAGTGATATGTTTACCTATCCTATACTTTGCACTCCTATCGTGTTTTTTTAGTATTGTTGTTTTAACCTTCCGACGTGCCCCCCCCCCCCCCCAGCCAGACATCTGTGGTCAAGAGCTTCATGGATCATCGGATTTTCGTCCTCCAGTATATTATAAATTATGTTAATGAGGTTTCCACCACACATACCATGTATGGTAAGGGGGGTCTCTGATCGCGGCGTCACGAGCCTGCCAGCCAATCAACGCGCGCCGAATTGAACTAGGGGACGAGTTCACTTCGACGGGGAATAACAGGGGCGTTCGCTGAAGTTCAACTCACTCGGCCACGCCGTAACTCTCTCGTCCGCTTCGACGAAGGCGCTTTGCGGCAATCCGTCATCACCACAAACGCCGTCGTCTTCGGCCGAGGCGGGGCGGCCGAGCGAGCGGTTTGGTCCCGGTCTCGCTGCTCGTATCAACCTCGCCCGGCACTTGGTATCGCCCGACCCTTGATAAACAACACGGTGATCTGGAGCAAACACCCCCCCCACGCTCCCCTGTCAATGGAGGAGTGCGAGGAGGGGAGGAGGTGGTGTAGCTGTGGTGTAAAAAAAAATGTCCCTCACGCCTAAAACATCATCGCTCATGAATCGCGGCCACTTCAATCGACGCGTCTAGTAAACGCCGCGAGAGCTTACCGCAGCGGAGCCGACTCGAACGTACGTTGCAGCCTCACGCCCGTGTTCACGCCGACACACGGCCGCGTCTCTCTCTTTACCACCACCACCACCCCCAACCAACAACACCACCACCACCACGAACTGCACCTTCACACTTACCACCACCCTGGTGTGTGTGTGTGTTAGTCCTAGTAGGGGGTGATAGGGGTATAACAAGGCCCTCCCGTGGCTCTGCGTGGTGTGTCAAGTGTTGAGAGGGGGTGATGGTGGTGGTGGTTAGCGGTGATGGTGTTGTGGGTAAACTGGCGTGTGAAAGGGTTTAAAGTGGAGCTTTAAAAGTTTAAAGTTTTGTTCGAACGGGCCGCCTACGCTGCGAGCGCGCCCGCTGGCGACGGCTGCTGCCAAAGGCGCCAGGCCGTGGCGCGACGCTCGTGAGAGTTCGGCGAGCCGTGGGCTCGGGCCGTGGGTTCGGCCCGTGGGCTCGGGCCCTGGGCGAGGCCTACGCGCTTAGGCCGCGGTCGTGTTGATGATGCGGGGACGGGGGGCGGTCGGCCCCCGGGCTCACGCTCCGGCGGGGCCGCGGGCGGGGTGGAGGAGGCCTCACGCCTTGTAGAGTGAGGCCTCACGCCTTGTAGAGTGAGGCCTCACGCCTTGTAGAGTGAGGCCTCACGCCTTGTAGAGTGAGGCCTCACGCCTTGTAGAGTGAGGCCTCACGCCTTGTAGAGTGAGGCCTCACGCCTTGTAGAGTGAGGCCTCACGCCTTGTAGAGTGAGGCCTCACGCCTTGTAGAGTGAGGCCTCACGCCTTGTAGAGTGAGGCCTCACGCCTTGTAGAGTGAGGCCTCACGCCTTGTAGAGTGAGGCCTCACGCCTTGTAGAGTGAGGCCTCACGCCTTGTCGAGCGAGGCCTCACGCATTGAATGAGTGAGGCCTCACGCCTTGTAGAGCGAGGCCTCACGCTTTGTAGAGCGAGGCCCCACGCATTGAGTGAGTGAGTGAGGCCTCACGCATTGAGTGAGTGATGCCTCACGCCTTGTAGAGCGAGGCCTCACGCATTGAGTGAGTGATGCCTCACGCCTTGTAGAGCGAGGCCTCACACATTGAGTGAGTGAGGTCTCACGCATTGTAGAGTGAGGCCTCGCCTTGTAGAGCGAAGTCTCACGCATTGAGTGAGGCCTCACGCATTGAGTGAGCGAGGCCTCACGCTTTGTAGAGCGAGGCCTCACGCATTGAGTGAGTGAGGCCTCACGCATTGAGTGAGCGAGGCTTCACGCATTGAGTGAGTGAGGCCTCACGCATTGAATGAGTGAGGCCTCACGCCTTGTAGAGCGAGGGCTCACGCATTGAGTGAGAGAGGGCTCACGCATTGTAGAGCGAGGCCTCACGCATTGAGTGAGTGAGGCCTCACGCATTGTAGAGTGAGGCCTCACGCATTGAGTGAGTGAGGCCTCACGCATTGAGTGAGTGAGGCCTCACGCATTGATTGAGTGAGGCCTCACGCATTGAGTGAGTGAGGCCTCACGCATTGAGTGAGTGAGGCCTCACGCATTGAGTGAGTGAGGCCTCACGCATTGAGTGAGTGAGGCCTCACGCATTGAGTGAGTGAGGCCTCACGCATTGAGTGAGTGAGGCCTCACGCATTGAGTGAGTGAGGCCTCACGCATTGAGTGAGTGAGGCCTCACGCATTGAGTGAGTGAGGCCTCACGCATTGAGTGAGTGAGGCCTCACGCATTGAGTGAGTGAGGCCTCACGCATTGAGTGAGTGAGGCCTCACGCATTGAGTGAGTGAGGCTTCACGCATTGAGTGAGTGAGGCTTCACGCCTTGTAGAGCGAGGCCTCACGCATTGAGTGAGTGAGGCCTCACGCATTGAGTGAGTGAGGCTTCACGCCTTGTAGCGTGAGGCCTCACGCATTGAATGAGTGAGGCCTCACGCATTGGAGAGCGACGCCTCACGCATTGAGCGAGGCCTCAGGCATTGTAGAGCGAGGCCTCACGCATTGAGTGAGTGAGGCCTCACGCCTTGTAGAGCGAGGCCTCACGCATTGAGTGAGTGAGGCCTCACGCATTGAGTGAGTGAGGCTTCACGCATTGGAGAGCGACGCCTCACGCATTGAGTGAGTGAGGCCTCACGCATTGGAGAGCGACGCCTCACGCATTGAGCGAGGCCTCAGGCATTGTAGAGCGAGGCCTCACGCATTGAGTGAGTGAGGCCTCACGCCTTGTAGAGCGAGGCCTCACGCATTGAGTGAGTGAGGCCTCACGCATTGAGTGAGGCCTCACGCATTGAGTGAGTGAGGCCTCACGCATTGAGTGAGTGAGGCCTCACGCATTGAGTGAGTGAGGCTTCACGCATTGGAGAGCGACGCCTCACGCATTGAGTGAGTGAGGCCTCACGCATTGAGCGAGGCCTCACGCATTGAGTGAGTGAGGCCTCACGCATTGAGTGAGGCCTCACGCATTGAGTGAGTGAGGCCTCACGCATTGAGTGAGTGAGGCCTCACGCATTGAGTGAGTGAGGCCTCACGCATTGAGTGAGTGAGGCCTCACGCATTGAGTGAGTGAGGCCTCACGCATTGAGTGAGTGAGGCTTCACGCCTTGTAGAGCGAGGCCTCACGCATTGAGTGAGTGAGGCCTCACGCATTGAGTGAGTGAGGCCTCACGCATTGAGTGAGTTAGGCCTCACGCCTTGTAGAGCGAGGCCTCACGCATTGTGCGGCAAGGCCTCACGCATTGTGAGGTGAGGCCTCACGCATTGGAGAGTGAGGCCTCACGCATTTAGTGAGGCCTTACGCATTGAGTGAGTAAGGCCTCATTGAGTGAGTGAGGCCTCACACTTTGTAGTGCGATGCTTCACGCATTGGAGAGTGAGGCCTCACGCATTGTGAGCGAGGCCTCACTCATTGAGAGCGATTTCTCGCTCATTGGAGAGCGAGGCCTCATTGTGAGCGAGGCCTCACTCATTGGGGAGTGTGGCTCATGCTTTGCGGAGTGTGGCCCACGCTGGGGAGCGAGGCCTCGCACATTGTGAGCGAGGCCTCACGCATTGTGAGCGAGGCCTCACGCATTGTGAGCGAGGCCTCGCGCATTGGAGAGCGAGGCCTCACGCATTGGAGAGCGAGGCCTCACGCTTTGAGGAGTGTGGCTCACGCTTTGCGGAGTGTGGCCCATGCTGGGGAGTGAGGCTCACACATTTGGAGTGTGGCTCACGCTCGTAGACAAGAGGGAGAGGAGACCGGCGCTTTGTGGCGTTCTGTCTTGTAATGGTAACTTGTCAAGGCCTGTGGCTTAAACGTCTTTGGGTCCCCCACTCTTCGGGGTGTGATATTGACACGCGCGTTGTTGCTGCTGCAATGATACTTAAGGCCCTGTGGCATGGGCCTGATGTAGATGCAGAGCAACAAGAACTACAATTTCACATTCAGGTGGTCAAGCACAGATAACCGCATCAGCAGGAGCAGCGGAGTAGCGTATCGTCATCGCTGTGATGTCTCCTTCGAATTTCTGGATCGGCATTGGGTCGTTTACACGTTGCACGGCCTCTGTTCTGGATGACCACAACCGGCACACTACTACTGGAGAGTTTTTAATTATCCATTTGTGCATCATCAGGGTGTCCGCATCCGCTGCTACCATGGTTTGTGCAGTGGATGTGGTTTAGGGTGGACCCCAAGGCGCTTCGTGGAAGATGAAAACGCCGGGGATCATCTGCGTTGGGTCTTTCACAACAAGCCGGTGGTTGTTCGCGAGTTCTTTTGAACTCCATTCAGCTCTCCAGGCTTCAACAGGAGGTTGAACTCGTGTTGTTTGAGGTCAAGCGCATGTTGGGTGGGTGTGGGGGGGGGGTCCAAAAGGGCTTTGCGTGACTTGAAGCGATGCCGAGGGGTGTTATCGAGGTCCTGATGCTCGTGGAGTTGAGACTCGTCGCCGAGTCCCGTGTGGCAGTGACCCCGCCTGGCCCATGTTGGTTTGGGCCCCTGTGGGTCCCTCTGCGGGAGGGGGAACTTTCAAGGTGATCTCGCGCATTGCGTTGCAGTGACTCCTGTCAACATCTGTGCCAGAGGCCCCTGCGGGAGTTGAGGGGAGGCGCGGTGGCGAGATGTTCACAGCCTCGCCGGGTATACAGGAGGTTGCGGGTTCGATCCCAACCCTTTGACGCCTGTTGTGTATTTGGAGTTTCCGCGTCTCTCTCCCCATGGTCGCGTGGATATTTCTGTCGGTTCTCTAATTTTGTCCCCCCCCCCTCATTTAGAAACCGCTGTGCATTTACACGTGAGAAGTAACTTCCCTGGGCTACTGTTTGTGGCCAGGTCACTTTTGAAAAAGAGACGTACAGCTCGGTAGGCCTTACCCATTAAAAACGTTTTTTTTTTAAAATCTGCTCCGTTCTTACACACGGAGAGAGAGGTTCACCCGTTGTGGAGTGAGACGCCTTTAATTTTGGGTGCTCCTGCCTCGTGCGTGTTGTAGAAGTGACACTAGCCTGTCCCTTGGACTCCCGTGGGAGGAGGAATATCAAGGAAGGCTCTCGGCTACTCGGAGCGGGACTTGCGCATTGTGGTGTCATGTCAATTGTCTAGCTTGGGCTGCTCTGGATTGGCTGCTGCGAGAGGAGAGTCTCAAAACTCGTGCTAGGGGTGCGAGGCTCAGGCATGTCTGGTGGGACTCGACACTTGTCAATGTATGTAGCTTGTTCCCCTATGTGTTCCTACTGTCGTTTGGATCAAGCCAGCAGTGGATTGATCATGGCTAGATGCTGATGATGCTGTTGTGGTTGTGTTGCACATTTGGGATCTTGATGTGCCCGTGCGCGCGCGCAGTCTTCGCCCGAAGGAGACTGCTGCCCGGAGATGGCGTCAACGCTGGTGGAGCAGGGCAGCCTGGCGTTAGAGCTGCCCAGCTCGGCGCCTGCGGTGGCCGCAGAGGAAAAACAGGTTGGTCGACGCGTTCGGTTTGGCCCATGAGCCCCAACGGGGCTCGGTCGGTGCCACCTGGGGTGGAAAATTGGACCAGAGTCGGGGCCGCGGGCAGGGTCGGGGCCGCGGGCCGAGGGCAGAGGGCAAAGTCCGGCCGGGTGCAAAGAGCTTAGCGTCTATACCACCCATCAGTTTTATAGAAACGTACCCTCGTTTCTTTTCACATTCTGCGGATCTTTCGTGTCACATTCGTTTTCCCCAATAACCGTGACCTTGCCAGCGTGCGCATTATAGATCGAGAGATAACGTTCGTCAAGAAGGGGGTATTGTTATCAGTTTGCCGCTGTCAGCGATACCGATCGGCGGTTTGTGGCCCAATGGCTGGCGGATCATTTTTATCTAGACGATGCGCCGTGGCGAGTCTGTGCTGATACCTGTGCACGTTTGTTAAATTCCAGGCCTGCATTGATTAACCTCCAGCCACTGCCCCGGCATTGTTGTGTATGTATCATGGCACCTTTTTTTCTGCCAGTATCAAAAGTATGAAAAAAAATAAGAATAGCTTTTACCCTTTCTGGCAATAAAACAGGTGTAAAGATGTTCAAACACCAAATCAAGTCCGCATTAATCATACGAACTCATGGTGAACATGCAAACAAACATGCTCTCATAAGAAAGGCATTGTCTCTGAAACTGATTGGCCTACACCAGAGACGGCCTTCTTCATGGCCTTGTCTCTCACCCACGTTAGACCACAGTGTTGTGTGTGTGTTATGCTTTTTGCACTGAACGAGAACCCAAATCTGATCGAGACGGTTCTTGCCTATAAACAACTAGTAGTTCACCAGCATTTTGGGACAAGCAAGCCTGACCGCTGATGTGAGACACAGAATGTGAAAGCCGGTCCAGATTTCTCACCCAGCATTGAGACAAGCAAGCCTGACCGCTGATGTGAGACACAGAATGTGAAAGCCGGTCCAGATTTTTCACCCAGCATTGAGACAAAGCAAGCCTGACCGCTGATGTGAGACACAGAATGTGAAAGCCGGTCCAGATTTTTCACCCAGCACTTGGAGAAGCAAGCCTGACCGCTGATGTGAGACACAGAATGTGAAAGCCGGTCCAGATTTTTCACCCAACATTGAGACAAGCAAGCCTGACCGCTTATGTGAGACACAGAATGTGAAAGCCGGTCCAGATTTCTCACCCAGCATTGGGACAAAGCAAGCCTGACCGCTGATGTGAGACACAGAATGTGAAAGCCGGTCCAGATTTTTCACCCAGCACTTGGAGAAGCAAGCCTGGCCGCTGATGTCAGACACAGAATGTGAAAGCCGGTCCTGATTTCTCACCCAGCATTGAGACAAGCAAGCCTGACCGCTGATGTGAGGCACAGAATGTGAAAGCCGGTCCAGATTTTTGCTTGTGTTGAACCAGTGCCACTGAAATTACGCACTCCCAGAAGGCCGTGTGTGCGTGTACGTTGAACTTCTTTCGCACCAACCTTGCCAATCGGAGGTGGTGGGATGCGGAATACATATTTGTTTTTTTTACGTGGAGCAACAGGTAAGAGAAGGGCGGGGGAGGCGTATCTACCAGTGCTTCGTCGTTTTATTCATTTGCTTGGAGAAAACAAAGCCATGTGAGGTGGCGCGCACGCTCCGTACCGCGACTCGATCGCTCGTTTTGCTCCCGCAGGACGGCTTCCCTGCCGTAGTGGTGGAGGCCCTGCCCACGCTAGACGGGAGTCTGTGCTACGCCGCGTACAGCGGTGGCGGCGGCGGCGGAGGAGGTGGAGGAGGTGAAGGAGGTGGAGGAGGTGAAGGAGGTGGAGGAGGTGAAGGAGGTGAAGGAGGTGGAGGAGGTGGAGGAGGTGGAGGAGGTGAAGGAGGTGGAGGAGGAGTTGAAGGAGGCGGAAGTGAAGGAGGCGGAGGTGAAGGAGGCGGAGGTGAAGGAGGCGGAGGTGAAGGAGGCGGAGGTGAAGGAGGCGGAGGCGAAGGAGGCGGAGGCGAAGGAGGCGGAGGCGAAGGAGGCGGAGGCGAAGGAGGCGGAGGCGAAGGAGGCGGAGGCGAAGGAGGCGGAGGCGAAGGAGGCGGAGGCGAAGGAGGCGGAGGCGGAGGTGAAGGAGGCGGAGGCGAAGGAGGCGGAGGCGAAGGAGGCGGAGGCGGAGGTGACTCGGCGATGCCCTGCGGGGAGGCGCTCATCGTGGCCCAGGAGCAGGTCATCGAGGATGGCCTCGTGTGCTGCGGTAGGGATTCGCGAGTCGGCGTGCGTGGAGCAGTGGCGAAGCGGTCGGCGCCGCTGCGCCGCGAACCCGGCGAAGGCGCGAGTTGGTTTCCCTCGCTCGGAATCGGCATCTGCCGTTGGTCATGGAGAAATCTGATGAGCTGTGAAGCTCTTTTTCCACGGATTTCCAGTAGGGGTCGGGGTCAGAAAGTTAGAGCAACAAACAGCACAAAAAAAACACGATCGGAGTGCAAAGTATGGGAACGGTAAGCAAATCGCAAAAAATAAATACGTAAAATCGATGAAGTATGCAAGTTCAAATTGCAAACCCATTCCCGAGCTCGCGGGCACCATCATTGGTGACGATTATCAGAGCCGTCCCTGGCATTCCCCTAGGTCGGCTCGGCCTAAAATGAGTACCTTGTGCGGTGTGCAAACATCGCCACTCGGGAGACTCGGGCGGCCGGGCGTGGCGATGGCGACCCACCCCCTGGTGTGCCGTGCCGTCCTTAGTAGGTGCTCGCCAACAGCGCTTGTCCCACAAGTATGTTGACGGCTGTACGTGGGACGTTGGGTGTTGCCTGCTTCCTCTGCTGTTATTCCACTCGCGTATGGCAGCAATATGTTCAGGAGCTTGATGTCGACGTGTTGATAGGACTTGAGGAGAGAGTTTGTATTTTGATTTAAAGCTTTCGTGACTGCAGGGATTCATATTCTTTGTTCTTTCGGTGAAGTCACCACGTAGAAGGGAAACAATAAAATAATGAAAATCTAAAACAATACAATTCTCACGACGTTTCGACTGCAACACAAATTTTTTTTTCAAATTTTCTTGCTGTGGTTTTCACACCTGATGATGTCGAAACGTCGTGAGAATTGTTTTGTTTTATATTTTTATTATTTGATTGTTTCCCTTCTACGTGGTGACTTTACCGAGAGAACCAAGAATATGGAGAGAGTTTGTGTCGTACAGCGGGCGTCACGCCGTCTGCCCGAGCGTCCATCTTGCGCTGCTCCCAGATGGTTTTTGCGTGCTCTTGTCCCACTGCTGTACTCGTTTCTCGCGGCTTATTTTGAGTATTATTATTCTATTGTAAAGATATTTTATCGATTTTTTTTCCAAGCGATGTGTATATATATAAAAAAAAATGTTTTCTGCTTTCTCATTTGTGATTTTCACCACCGCCTTGGGGCCTATTTTCCAATTCCGTAACGGAAGTCGACGGGTACATTTGAGCTCGACGAAAACGGAATTTTGCTTTCCGGAAAACTTTTCGGGAAGGTATCTCTCGCGCCCATGTCGACGGACGCCCGTATTTGTGCGATCCACCAACCCTTGCCTCCATGTGATTTATTTGTGTGTTGCTCATCAGAATGGCAATATTTATTTCTACTGAGGAATCCGATGAGCCCATAAAGCTCTTTTTTTTTCACATGATGGTTACGTCAGCCCAACTTTGCAGCCCAATTCAAGTTCTACAGTCATTCTTTGTCCTTAAATTCCACGGGCGTTATTTACATCGGATAAGCAAAAACATTAAACCTCGAATAAAAAAATAATAATTAGGGGGCTGCGTGCCCCCGTGCGTTTGCAAATGACGCAATATGCTTGCGTAATTCTGACTTGCTGGAGTTGAATTCTTCCGTGATCTTTGTCATCATGTTTGATGCGGTTTAAAAATGAGAAGTGTCCGATATCATTGCCAAATTTGACGGTGGTAATTGTTCTCCAGCCCAATAATAATTATAGGCGCGTTAACCCGCCTGTAAGCCACGTGACAATTTCATCCGAGCACCGCGGTGGCCGGGAGATGTCAACTCCCTCGCCTGGTATGCAGGAGGGTCGTGGGTTCGATCCCAACTGTGAGGACTGCTGTATATTTGGAGTTTGCATCTCGCCATGGTCACGTGGATTTTTCTCCGCATCCTCCAGTTTTGTTCCCCTCCACATTTAGAATCAACATCACGCGTTTAGAGTATTTGGCCGCTTTACATTTCCACATCGTAAGCCACTTGGTTCAGCTACCATTTGTGGTTGGGTCGCTTATGAAAAAGAGCTACATAGCTCAATGGGCCCTTAACCTAGTAAAAAAAATAGCTTGGCTGCTGGGTGGCGGAGAGGGTCTTCTCTCTGGCCTAACCCAAAAATCTATTATAAAATCGTTATATCGGCGGCTGCTACCAGCACTTGGGAGAGGCGTGTTAAAGTTTACACGGTGTAATGTTTGGTCAAATGTCACGCGATACACTTTTAGCTATCCGCAAATGAGAATCGCCTTCCTGCTGTTTACAGGGGCCCTCGGGACAATCTACCTCTCTCTCTCGATATACACGGTACACCTGGCGCATACACAGGATAGCCCGTTCGTCAACCCACTGCGTCTGCCACGCCCGCCAGTGCAGGTGAATGGGGAGCCACGGAAACGAAGCCACGGCACTCGCCGCCATGGCTGTGGGAATGAGGAATTTCCACCGCTCGTTGAGGACCATACTTGGGAGATCCATGTGTCTGTGTGCGTCTGCGTGTGTCTGTGTGTGCCTGTGTGTGGGGACTCCGGCTTCGATTCCCGCTCACGGCCAACACCAGTGACGATTATCTGAACCGGTCCCGGGCCTCCCCTAGGTCGACTCAGCCTCAAATGAGTACCTGGTGCGGTGTGCAAACATCGCCACTGGGGAGACGAAGGCGGTCGGGCGTGGTGCTGGCCACCCACCCCCTCGTGTGCTGTTCCGGCCTTCATAGGTGCTCGCTAACAGCACTTGCCCCTACAGTCTGTTAAGGCTATACGGGGGATCTTTGTCTTTTGTCTGTGTGTGGCCTCAAGGTGCACATGGCCTGGCACAAGCGTCGTGGTGACGTCACCGCCACTTAGTGGCGAATGGCGGTTGTTGTTGTCTGTGTGTGGGAGCGGTAGTGTCGTGGTTAGCGCATTTCGCTCACGGCCAACGCCGGTGACGATTATCTGAACCGGTCCTGGGTCTCTCCTAGGTCGACAAAGACGGCCAGGCAATTGCTGTTAGCGAGCACTGATGAAGGCCGGCACATCGCACCAGGTACTCATTTGAGGCCGAGTCAACCTAGGGGAGGCTCAGGACGGGTTCAAATAATCGTCACTGGTGTTGGCCGTGAGCGGGAATCGAACCCGTGTCGCCAGGTTCATAGCGCAGCACTCTAACCACTACACTACCGCTCCACACGCATCTCTCATCACGCATCTCTCATCACGCATCCACTTGGACTCTGTTTGCACGTGCAGCCTTAACGCCGCATTTTTGTTATTCGGCAGAAATGTCAAGCGCAAATGTCATGCTGCAACAGGGCATGCAACGGTGCACTCTTTTGTATGTGTTTATGTTGAACTTCTTTCGCACCGTACGTAGCCGCCCGTGCTAATCGGAGGTGCAGTGTTGAGTCTACGGGCCGTGTTGAGTCTATGGGAAGTGTTCGTCTCTGGCCAGTGTCGAGTCTGTGTCATGTTGAGTCTATGGGTAGTGTTAGTCTCTGGCCAGTGTTGAGTCAATTGGTAGTGTTAGTCTATGGGCAATAAGTGTTTATGTTTCACTTTTTTCGCACCGTACGTAGCCAACCGTGCTAATCGAAGGTGCAGTGGAGAGTCTATGGGCAGTGTTGAGTCTATGGGCAGTGTTGAGTCTATGGGCAGTGTTGAGTCTATGGGCAGTGTTGAGTCTATGTGTAGTGTTAGCCTCTGGGCAGTGTTGAGTCTATGTGTAGTGTTAGTCTCTGGGCAGTGTTGAGTCTGTAGTGTTAGTCTATGGGCAGTGTTGTCTATGGGCAGTGTTGAGTCTATGGGCAGTGTTGAGCCTATGGGCAGTGTTGAGCCTATGGGCAGTGTTGAGCCTATGGGCAGTGTTGAGTCTATGGGCAGTGTTGAGTCTATGGGCAGTGTTGAGTCTATGGGCAGTGTTGAGTCTATGGGCAGTGAGTCTATGGGCAGTTAAATTTCGATTTAAAGCTTTCGTGACTGCAAGGATTCATCTTCTTTGGTTCTTTCGGTAAAGTCACGTAGAATGAGAATAAAATAATAAATTGATAAAATAAAATAACACAATAATATTCTCACGACGTTTCGGCCACAACACAAGCGGCCTTCATCAGGTGAAGGGGACGAGACTGTCTGGAGGACAGCGCTGGAGTGAGAAAGCCACGCTGAGATCGCGACCTTTATGCTGTGTGAGAAGAAACAAAACACTCCAGCGCTGTCCTCCAGACAGTCTCGTCTCCTTCACCTGATGAAGGCCACTTGTGTTGTGGCCGAAACGTCGTGAGAATATTATTGTGTTATTTTATTTTATAAATTTATTATTTTATTCTCATTCTATGGGCAGTGCTGAGTATGGGTAGTGTTGAGTCTCTGGGCAGTTTTGAGTCTCTGGGCAGTGCTGAGTCTCTGGACAGTGTTGAGTCTCTGGGCAGTGTTGAGTCTCTGGGCAGTGTTGAGTCTATGGGCAGTGTTGAGTCTCTGGGCAGTGCTGAGTCTCTGGACAGTGCTGAGTCTCTGGACAGTGTTGAGTCTCTGGACAGTGTTGAGTATATGGGCAGTGTTGAGTCTATGGGCAGTGTTAGTCTCTGGGCAGTGTTGAGTCTCTGGGCAGTGCTGAGTCTCTGGGCAGTGTTAGTCTCTGGGCAGTGTTGAGTCTCTGGGCAGTGTTGAGTCTCTGGGCAGTGTTGAGTCTATGGGCAGTGTTGAGTCTATGGGCAGTGTTGAGTCTCTGGACAGTGTTAGTCTCTGGGCAGTGTTAGTCTCTGGGCAGTGTTGAGTCTCTGGGCAGTGTTGAGTTTCTGGGCAGTGTTGAGTCTATGGGCAGTGTTGAGTCTCTGGGCAGTGTTGAGTCTCTGGGCAGTGTTGAGTCTCTGGGCAGTGTTGAGTCTCTGGGCAGTGTTGAGTCTCTGGGCAGTGTTGAGTCTATGGGCAGTGTTGAGTCTATGGGCAGTGTTGAGTCTCTGGGCAGTGTTGAGTCTATGGGCAGTGTTGAGTCTATGGGCAGTGTTGAGTCTATGGG